TTTCGAAAAATTAATAAAAATATTTAAAAATACACATTTTAAAAATAAAATAAAAAATGCGCGAATTATATTTGGATCGAATCTAAATTTTGTTTGGATTGAATTTAAGTTCTGAAAGAAGGAATCAAGAAAGTTTAATGAAAAGATCTGATGTGGACACCACATGACTTCCTCGTACGGCCTATTAAATCATGCACATTTTTGCTGCATTTCATTTAAACTTTATTTCCTCGATTATTTCATTATAGATATATTTCTCATTCAATTAATTCAGTTCTCACTTAGTGATAAGGCAGAAATACATAAAACTTAAAACATCTTCATTAAAAATTGTAAAATACAGTAAAATATAAAACACCAAATGCAGTTCAAACAGTCAAAAAAAAATTTACAATTAAAAATTGGAGTTTCTACGCAAAACCAGTAATTCAGTCACTGGAAAAGAAGGCAGATTTTTCGGTGCACAAAACTGAAAATTTACTTTCGTCATAAAAGGGCACTGAAGGTGGAGAAACTGACTTGCTTCACTTCTCTACTAAGAGTTTTCAAATATAAACTAATATGGCTGCTTAATTAGGCTTAGTCGCTATTACAATAGGCTATTACTATAGTTAGATTATTACAATATTTCCTTTACTTCGTACAAGGAAGTAAAAAGAGGTATTAATAAATATACTGTTCGTATACTTATTGTTGTAATACTTATTGTTCGTATATTTATTGTGTTGCAAAAAAATACTCGTATATGCACCCAGAAACAAAATTGAGCCACAGCTACGAAACTCGGTAGTTGCAGTGTTCGAGTAGATAAACATACGTTCAAACACTGGAGCGAAAAAGGCATTTTATTTGCCAGTAACAATACAAGAAATATGATAATCAATAAGTGGTAAAGCCATGCCTGGCAGCTATACAAACAGATATTTGTTTGAACATGCAGTCTATTAAGTTGCCAATATCCCTCTTGTATCGACTGTGCCAAAATGGAGCAACTGGTCAGTGAGGTGGTACGTATTTTAGCTGTACACGCATGAATTTGCGTTTACGGCATGCCCGAAACATGTTCCATAGGTGACAGGTCTGGAGACCTGGCTGGCCAGTGGAGGACATTAACTCGTCGAAGATATTGTTGGGAAAGTTGTGCTGTACGTGGCCGAGCGTTGTTCTGCTGGAAAACTATACTTGGATGACCTGCTAGCATAGGCAGCACGATGGGCTGCAAAATATTCGCAACGTACCTGTGAGCAGTCAGGAGGGAGTCAGTGAGTGGAAATTTCAGACGTTCTTCTAAAAATTTCCATAACTACGTAGAACTTTCTTATGCTTGTGCCTTAGAGTATATATTGTGTGTAACTTTATAGGCATCAGTACAGCTACAAAAAATCAACTCCAAAATGTATTTCAAGCACGAAACTGGGATGTTGTTTATACATGGTATCCCATAAATATGAAAACATTTTAAAAAATCATATGAAAACCTTAAACTGGAGTATCAGAGTGTAGTTTGCATTTAAAGGCAAATATTTTAAAAATAAGATTTTAGTTTACATTTTCATAAGTAGATAGATGGCTCTGTACCCTTAATAAATGAACAAATTTAAGACCTTTAAAACAAAAATGAACACATTTAAGACCTTTAAAACAAAAATGAACAAATTTAAGACCTTTAAAACAAAATGCGAAACTGAGAACTCGTAACTGACTGCAGGAGTATTAGTAATATTCTAATATGCTCTAAATTTAAATTGATAAATGCCGCATAATCTTGCGTTTCGTTTTCTAGTTCAGTTATTATAGATTCACTAACTACGCCTTCTGTTTATGTAAATTTAAGTTAAAATTTGCTATTAAGCCATCTTTTGTTTCATAAATCTCTCTTATGTAAGTAAGAGTAAGATAACTCATAAGATAACTCATAAAATAACTAATAATGTTTCTTGAGTTTTTCCCTAGTTGTCTAGATAAGAATTTTTCTCTAGTGATTCAAATGAATGGGCGGTTGGAAAAAGGGCAAGATTCCAAAAATATGGCGAATTAAAGTAAGGAAGTAATACCAATATTTACGCAATCTATCCGTAAAAAAAACTTTTTTACTTCGTATCTTTACGTCATTGAGTGGGAAAAAAATACTACTCAGGGAATAATATATTTATTTTACTCATCAGATGCTTATGACAGCGTCTTGTAAATCGATTTATCTTGCAGTTTTATTACATCAACAAGAGGTTTAAAGCTTGTTATTATATGTTTTAAATAGTTATCTGCAAATGGTTTGGTAAGTTAGGGTTTTAGTGGTTATTAAATAAATATTACACTTTAAATGTAATTAATGATGTAATAAGTATTACATTTTCTGCATAACTAAATATTAATTTTTTTACATTACATTTCAATTCTTCATACATGCCGTATTTCAATGCGTTTAGCTCACGTTGTCTATTTTGGGCAGAAAAAGGATAATACTCTTGTACTTTTAAATATTAATATCTAGTTGTCTAATAGGTAGAAGATTTTTGTACTTTAATATAAAATGTACTTTGTTAAAATATACAAATGAGGAATTAAAATGTTTTTTGCCCAAATTTAACGATTTTTCAGTAAAACAGTTTTGTTTTTTCAGAAATAAGCTTGACTGTAAGGCTATCCGCCATTCAAATAAATATTGAATAAAGCTAAAACTAAACTTGTAAGAATAGCTTTATGCATTAAATGGTAATTTTGTATTCAAAGTATTCACGAAAGTGCCGTTTGAGTTAGGAGAGGAAGTGAAGTCTCGTTTCTCGTGAAACAATTGGTATGCTTTGACCTTGAAGGAATAAAGCAATTTCCTAATGCATTATAAAGATCTTTACTTTCTAATACAACCATATTAGATAAAATAACATCATATCGAAGTGTCATAGGTTTGTTCTAGTTGCATTAAAAAATAACTTTCAATCACAATCTAAAATACTTCTTGATATATTTCATTTGAGTCCGGCGACTTCGTTGAATATATTACTAAAGTAGATTATTACCGATCATATAATCTAGTTCAAATGATGTAAAGGTCATTTCACTTACTTTCGATATAGAAATGCAGCTATTTCGTGATTTAAATATTATTCGAATTACGTAAACTCAATTGAACTTTTTACTAGTGACTGCAAATTGCGAAAAAGGAATCGCAAAAGTGTGAGAAGAATAGTTACAATTCACAGGAAGTAACTGATAAACGAAGATGTAATATTGCGGAGTAGCGTATATACAATACTCATCTTGTTTTGTAGTAATTTAATGGATTTTTAATTAAATTCTGAATTTGTTCCACGTATTGAAATTAAAAGTCTCAGTTACTAAAAAAAGAATGAAAGAAAAAGAAAATTTATATCGTGGTTATAGTTAACTTAGTTAGCATACTAGATAAGTAAAAAAAAAAGAAGCGATCCTCCTCTCAAAAAAAAAGCGATTTCGTGCCTCTCTTTTTCTATTCCCTTATCACTCTTTTCTTTTGTAGCGTAATAACCTGAGAAATATTCAAAAGCCTCAGTTCATATTTTGTTTATGGAAAAATATTATGTGCATGAATCTCAATACAATTGGCGATTTTTAACATTTGGACCTCAATTCAAAGCCATTACGGATGAATTTTTTTTAATACATAATATTAAATTTGAAACACACACACACACAAAAGAAAACTGATTGTCTTTTACTTTACCTATCTCTCAATGTGTTTTACCGCATGAAAGGTTTTGACAAACGGACACAAACGGAGTTCTAATAGATCTCAGAACAAAAAGAAACTGTATCTAATAAACAATCTAATAACTTGAACAGAAGCTCGCCGCAGGAAAGGCATAGCTTCCTCCAGCACTTGAGGCCGAAGTGCACTTTTATCTTTTGATCATCATGTCTTGACCAAAAAGTTTCTGTATTCCGTCCTCATTACTAGCAGAGCAGAAATGGACATCGATCTTCAATGGTGTCATCTACTGGCAGAAATCGCCACTGATAAATCCGAAACAACGCTTTTTCCGCAATAAATGTTTGCATTTACCAAATTTAGACGGCTCCACGAGACCAAACCAGCTTATACCGCAACAAACCTGTATATCCAACGTATAGCTCTCCCTATTGGAGGTAGGAAGTAAGTTTTTTCTTACCCTCATGGCTCTCCCATTAAAATTATAGTTCTAGAAAAAATAAGAGAAGTACTGGATCTTGACTAAGTACTTCCAGCTGAAATTTATCTGTTTGACTGAAATGCGAATTTTACTATCTAATTATTGATGCATTATTTTGAGAATCCTCCAAAAGCTAAATTGCACTCTTAACTTCCCTGTTAATAATGCTTGCTAACTAATGATGTTGGTGTACTATCTGGACGTAGATGCTAGCCTCTCTGTTTAAGTTGAATTTTTCACCGTTTAGTTATAATCTGAAAATAATCCTTTAAAAACTGTAGACAGCTGCTAATCTAAAAATTTCATTTGAATAGGCAAAAACTTATGTTTGACTTTGCAAAACATTTTAAAAGATGTAAAATATAACTCATTATGCTTCGAAAGCATGGTTATAAATGAACAGGTTCGAAAGAGAGGTTCATCCTAAAGTGGACCTTTGAAATGCCTAATAAAACTTTAATCACGTATCTAAATGCGTCTTCAAATTATAAGAATACTACTATTAATTTTAAAATGAACTTCATAAAGTAAGACGTGAGCAATCATTACAGCAGGTATCTTAGTGATCTCTGATATTTCAATAATGCGATCAAACTCATATTCGTTTTCTGTTCGATAGATATGATATTTGCAACCGTTTTACACGTATTTTACAGTTGGTACAGTTGTATCTTTCTTTTAATATCAGAAACCTACAAAAAATGTTTCATTTAAAGTTTCCAACTGTTATTATTATCATCTACGGAACATAAAAGTTGTCGGAAAAGCATTGTAATACTTGACTCATAGACAGCCATGTGAAAAATCATGTGAAAGCAGTAATAACAAGGAAAGTGAGCTATTTGATGAATGTAGTACTTTATTCAGAATCCCAATACAAGGGAAATAATATTCCCGATTCCACTTTTGTTTCAAATATCCCTACAAGGTGTAAATTATAAGCGTACTTACAGTTTACAAATTTGCACTAAAGGATTACTTTTGTAAAAAATTTTTATATCTAATTAAAAAAAAATTCGTCTATTTTAAGCATCTATAAAACATAAAAAAGAATGATATTGCACATGACTTTCATCCGTCTGTTTCTGATAATACATACAAAAAACAAAGCTTGTTTTTTCTAGGCATAAAAAAAATCAAAGAAAACATTAGAAAGTTTTCCTTCGTAACATCAAAAACAAGTTGTCTAATGTTTTTGCCATATTTCGCTTTTAAAAATTTCATTCATACCATAGGAATATAGGGAAAAGAGACCAGCTGTACACAGAAAGAGAAGAAATAAAAGATGTTTTTTTGAAATAAATTTATCTTCTTGGGCTAGATACTTGGCTTTTGAGTTCAAAGGGGCAATCATTCTATCTTTCGCTTCTAGAATTGCATTTCTAGCTCCTGACCATGCATGAGGACCTTGAAGCCTGTACTGATATGATAAGCAAGGTCCATTCATACACACCCAGAATAATTTAGGATCGGTTACAGCTAATTTCAACATATTCGGCTTTGCTCCTATTTGTTCTGCGAGTTCGTCCATAAATGGTATCCAGTCAGTTTGGATCGTGTGTCTCGTAGAAGCAACATACCGTTTCTCATTAACTTCATTTTTACGTGCAATATCGTTCTGCATTTCTTGAATGCTGGGTAATTTCAGATTTCCTATGAGCATTTGAATGAACCATCGACATTGCATTTCTGAAATGGGGAATATAGCTCCTAAAGGTTGTATTAAACCAATCATAATCAAATTATGATGTTTTAGATGCGGAGGAATAGCATACTTGTATAAATGTACTCTGTTTTCTTCGGTAGTTACCATATTTTTATCCAGAAATGGGAACTTTATCTGATATCCCGTTGCTAAAATGACGGCATCCACTTCTGTAACGGAATCTTCTCCTGCAAATACAACTCCATTTTCTTCAAATCTGTCAATGTCACCTTTGACGATAACTCTGCCGCTGAGAATGCAGTTAGGTAAAGCATCGTTGACGGTCGGATGAGCGCTAAGAATCCTATGTTTGGGCTGAAGGTTGTATACATTATGGTCAAATTTTTTATTTACTTCATACTCCATATATCTGCAAACTACATCGTATGGCAGGAAAGAACTCAGTAAAATCTTGGTGCGTGTAGTAAAATCAAAATCCAACGGAAGACCATTTCTCCCAACTCTACTAAAAATCCATGAACCTCTTCTAGTGCTCAAGTAAACCTAAAATATGAAACAAAATTAAAATTTGTATGCATTTTATATTTAATATTTGTCTCTATTTAAAGCTAAATAATATATTAGGTCAAAGAGTGAGTCTGAATTCTTACCGGTTTCACCTGTTCTAACAGGTTTCACCTGTTCTTCTTGTTTCAGAACATCAACATGTGTACAAGTCTTGATTATTGACTTGACCCACAAAACCGGCCTAGAGCCCGCAGATTTTAAGAGGCCCCCCTAAATTATACCATAATTTATCATATACCTATTTTTCGCTGATTAAAATCAAGGAAAGCTGGAGTTGGGAGCCCTGAAAGAACGCTACTCCTAGAGTCTTAGACTGGGTGTACTGCCTTAACTGGGTCGTTTGCATAGATGATGAACGCAAGTTGAGGACTTTGTCACTGATAGCCAGAAAATGCACAAATATCAGTTCATTAATTTATAGCTTTTCCTAAGTTATAAACAAAACCTAACAATATAAGGGGTTAAAACCTTCATCTAACGTGCTTTTGCGCTATAATGGTCAGCCATATCAGGCCGTTTATTCGAAGCTCCCATGCTGAACTCCAAGCAAGTCTGCTCTTCCAGTGTCTAAGTAAATTTATTTTCAAGTTATAATATAAAATTTAATGACTGTAACTGCAAAATCAACTAACTAAGTCAAAGGTTTAAAATAATTCACTTACTAATTAAGTCATATTTATTACAATGGCTGAGGCAACAAGAATAAGCGTAATATTCATAAATTTGCATAAAATTCTTGTTGTCTTTACTCCTACAATAATCGTTATTCGAAGTGCTGTTTTGACTCAGATTTAAATTAAATTTATCACATTTGGTCCTGAATTCTCATTCATGCCTGTGCTATCAGCTAGCTCCCGTTTTTTCGGCACTGGTTTTCCTTTCCATAGCAGTAGGTGTGTATTAGGTCATTTCGAAGCAGGAGACGTGAAAAATGAGCAGTATTCCCGCCGGGACTCAAACCTCGGACCTCTCACATACTCGCCGATTGCGCTGACCACTCACCACAAAGGAATGCTAAGAAGCGGGAGAAATACCTTATATACTCCCCTTTTTAAACGGCGACTGAGGATTAGGGGACCCAACGGCCAAATCCTGGGGGTAGGGAATCATCACCCACAACCTTTTTTAGTTCAGGCACCACCGTAGAGTCATTGGGTATTTTTTAAAGCAGAAGAAATGAAAAATGAGCACTGCCCTTGCCGTGACTCTAATCACGGACCTCTCGAATACACGCCGAGTGTGCTCACCATTACACTCCGAAGGCATGCTAAGGTTGGTTTATTAAATTACGGCAAAGGCTCGAGGGCTATCTGCCTTAAGGGAGGGATGCCTTCGTGGAGGACGTTTTAAGGGAAACTGGCTCGTATACACGTTACACATGGGGAAAACCACGAAAACACCCATGCAGCCAGCCCGTTCGCGGGATTCGAACCTCGGACCGAACTACCAGTGTTCAGCGACGTACCGCTCGGCCGCTGGTGGGCCCAAAAGAAGGCATGCTAAGAAGGCGGGAGAAATGCCTTATATACTCCCCCTTTTAAAGGGCGACTGGGGAGTAAGGGATTCAGTCGCCAAATCCTGGTGGGGGAGAATCATCATCCACAACCCTTTTATAATTCGGGTGCCATTGTAGACTCATTAGGTTATTTCGAAGCGGGAGACGTGAAAAAAAAGCATTGCCTTCACCAGGCATCGGGCATCGGACCTCTCGAATACGCGCCGAGCGTGCTAACCACTTCCCACGAAGGCATGCTAAGAAGGGAGGAGAAATACCTTTTAGGTGTTAAACAAGGAAAAAAACGAGCAGTTTGAACTAAAAATTAAATGTTTCAGCTTAATAAATACGAACGCCCTTACAATTATTTTATGTATTCTAAAATAAATTTAATTTTCTAAAACATTCATATATTACATGAAATGATTTAAGCTTGTAATAATTGTTTGAATTTGACCCTAGCATCTTAGCTATTTACTTTTTATCTAGAACGCTACTCAAGAAATATGCAGCAATCTTTGTATGATGTAATTACAATAAAATCATACAAAGAAAGACTTTTTTAGTATGAAAAATTAACGCTACACGCTACATCATTTGTTTCTTGAAAATAAGAAAAGAATTACTGAAGTGAAACTGGGAACATACTTTTCTTTTAAGTTGGAAAGTTTCCTTATATTTATGGATATCCGTTTTTACATTAGATGTTATTTGAGAATAATAATATGAAATAAAGAATTACCTATCATGTGAGATCCTATGAGATTTCTTAAAATAAGGTTCATCACAAAAGCATTTAAAATAAAATTCAACTTTGAATATACATGATGTTCGTAAAGCGCTTCAAAATGATAAGAGAAATAATTCTACCCATCAAGACGAAGAAATTTACAATGGAATCCAGAAAGGCATTCCATTAAGATTATAACGAAAGGTAGGTTAAATGATGAGTGAAAGCTGATGAGTGAAATGACCAAGCTGTCCAAGCCAAACGTGAACTTTCAACAGTGAAAGGATTAAAATTATATGTAATCCACCATGACATTTACAGAATCCTTTTGGACGTTGTTATCACGGTAATAATCTGAAATACAGAAGGTGTGCCGCTTCCAAAGAACGGCGTTTGCTTCGCCAGGCATTCTCTTGAACATTGATGAACCAATCAGCTACATTTGTCGATGCTGCTTCCTTTCACCTGAAATTTGCATTGGCAAATGCTTGAAAATGATGTTCTTGAGAGGAACTTCTTCGCTAGGTCAGAAATGACATCAGAAGAGACGTGTTTCGAAGTTACACTTTTCTGACACTCTGAGTGGAATACTGTCCTACGTTCCACTGTAATTATTGCTTGTCTTGATGGGTAGTAACACTTCTTTTATTTCCCTGAAACAATTTAAGAAAACCCCCTATGTAGGATTTTTAGAATAGTAGTCATCAGTTTTTCCAGCAAGAGTTGTAAGATCCATTAATTCTCGATTTAGCACATTAACTGCTATATCATTCAGATTCTAGAATAATAAGTTAATTTCTATTTAAACAATTTAAATTAAAAGTGTCATTTTGAATGTTTAGCTGCAAAACTGAGAGACAAAACGAAAGTTGCTTGAAGTAATTCGAGTTCCTAAGTTTCTTTAGGATGGGGTCTTTGCTCTGTTTATAGTTTTTTTTTTTTAATTCGTTATCTTCAAGTATGACATTCTAAAGTTAAATGGTTCGTATTTACCTTACACATTAGGGAAAACCTCGTAAATTCCCCACACAGTAAACTCGTTCACCGGGATTCAACCTTGGTTTGAGCTATCAATGCTGAGTTTAGTAGCCATATGTGCAAGAATATTTTCCCTATAGAAAGTATAAAGGTATTATTATCATGCACAAAAAGTTTTTAAAATTGTTACCGGGCAATATCAGCTTCCTGATAGCTTCGGTGGGTATGCTATATTTCAGTGTTTCCCAAATATTTTAGCCTCACAGTCCATTTAGAAATAACTTCAATTTATCGCTACTCAAGTATTCAGAAAAAAAAAGAGACAAATCATAAAGAGTACCAAAAGAAATCAATACAATTAGAAAATAATAATAGATAAATAGATGTGATTATTAATAAATAATGAATAATTATGAATTACAATGACCTGGTGAAGCACTATCTACATAATAGAAGGTATGTCTTTGTGGAGAAGTTTTTAATAGAAATTGGTTCGTATTTAAATTAAATACGAGGAAAATCACGTAACTTCCCACGGAATTGATTAATCACTATTGGAATATGTACTCGGAGATAGTAATATAAGAAAAGAATTAAAACTCGCGTTCTGCGCTTTGAGGAATGCTGTTTATGTGTGGTTTGTTGATCACCTGGCGAATGTTTTTCCGGAGAGGCGGGAGGGCAGACTTGTATTTCCTTTCTTGGCCTTTGAGTCAAGAACAAAAAAAAAAAAATAATAATTTGTAAATCTAAAGATTGCCTTAGAACAGAAAAGAGAGTTAGTATGTAATAGTGTTATCTGCGGAATTCTTGCTAGCACTGTTTGCAAAATTATCTCTGTGTACTCGAACCTATGACTCCTTATTTGAAAGGGAAGATTTTAATCACTTTCTTGAATAAAATACGTGCTTTTCAAGCAAAATTTTAAGGTTCCTCTATTTTTACCACTCTCCGTTATTTATTATATACACTCCCCGACACTGGAAATGCAACACCAAGGAGGAGTGGTCCGAAAATTATGCAAATTTCAGGGTAGACGCACGTCACCGAGTTATGCGAATGATGTTAAATGCGCAGCTCTCTAACGCACGTTGAAGGAGATATAAGAGAAGAAACCTGTAGAATGTTCAATATTCGTGCCGTTATATCTGCTAGAAAAATCATGGTAAAAAATTTGTTCTTGTCTCAGAGGACAGTTGTAATAGCAGAAAATGCCGGTCCATCGTCAACGGAGTCAATTCCAGAAGACAGATCATTTTACAAGAGGCATAGTGATCGGAATGAGAACAGCTGGTTGATTCATACGGCAAATCTCAGATGACACACACCTGGACGCGTTCACAAAGCACATATTGTGTAGACGATGGCTGGAATAAGTAAATATGGCAAGTTCGAAGGGTGCCGTGCAGCGAGAGTGACGTCAGCATGCGTGGATCGACGCATCCATCGACAAGCGGTGGCGCACCCGCAAGCCACTTCTACCTTTATTCTGCAGCATGTTCAAGGCCCCCTGGATGCTCCCACATCGACCAGAACCATTTGCTTTCGATTGGTGACTAGTAACCTGCACTCGCGGATTCCGTTAAGAAGACTGCCATTGACCCTACATCATAGACGCCAACGTCTGCAATGGTGTCGGGTTCGAGCGATGTGGACGACGGAATGTCACAGGGTCGTGTTCTCATATGAGTCACGCTTCTGTTTCTCCAATGATAGTCGCCGCGTACAAGTGTGGCGTCGATATGGAGACAGATCCAATCTGGCAGCAATTGT